CTGCTCTATTGATAAGGGAGATGAGCACTTCAGCTCCTGACGAACTGCTACCAGATGCTGCCACTGTAGTCGTAGCTGAGCTCCCTGAGGTCCCTGCTCGCACAGTGATAGGAGTTGTTCCGCTCGAGGCAGGGACTAATCCCCCAGAAGAAGGGATAGCTCCACTCGATGACGGGACTGATGTCCGGAGTGCTCCTTCAGCTGTAGATACGTCTGTGGAGGCCATAGTCAGGAGGGCAACGGGGTAATCCGGTATAAAGGACAATATGAGAGGCTAAACTGCAAAGTCAGAGGCTCAGCGCAACCAGCTTGCACTGAACAAGAGAGATCGCTTTGCAGTAGAGTGCAGTCCAATTGAATACGATCTCGATCGCTTTGTCGCAGAGTGCCGTCCAAACAAATCTAGCTGCTCAACGTAATAACACCTGCTTATATCATATTGTGTGGGTGTGCTAACTGGTGTGGTTAACCCCGCCTAAAACATTGTTCTAACCGGAAACTTACATTTCTTCTATACATGTTGTATTGGAGAAATAACTAGACGAATGCAGTGGCGTATCTAGACTTTTGAAGATGGTGGGGCAAAGATGGCGCGCGAAGCGCGCCGAAAAAAAATTTTGCGGTTAATTAATATTCATAATGGGCGTGTCTTTAATTAAAGTACGTCTACGCCCACAATAATGATGATGAAGTCGACTATATCAGACTAGCTCGGCTTGCTCTTTTCTTCTCTAAAGTTCTCTTTTGAGTGTTTTCTTTATTTATTGTGTTCTCTGGCCTTAATCAAGATTGGAGATATCTTAAATTTTTAACTACAGTAAATTAGAAGGCAATATTAATTTTGACTCAGTAGCAGTTGGTAGGGCAAATGCCCTACCATGCCCTACCTTGGATACGCCACTGGACGAATGTAAAACATTAAGGGGCTCAGCCCCCTAGCCACGCTATATTTTAAAGGTTATATGGTAGAGCTACATTATTGTACATGTACATGAGTAAATACAGTAGTTTGTAATGAAGTTATCATGCTTGGAAATACAAATTTTCTTTATCAGTTTATCACATTCTGCAGCAAAAAAGTTGTGTTGGAAGCCAGAGACAGTAACTGCAGTCATAGGTTATGTCAGTAGTTGTGGAAGCTTTACAAGCTCACAACTGTGGCATATCTGCCTTCTTAATCTTCCTTGCTGTATTTGGAAAGTAGTAGAGACTTCTCTTGCATTCTTGCTGACTCAAGTGAGTGACTTGTAACTTATAAGGTCAAGAACATGAACTGAGAACAATGAAGAATTGATAGCTGGCGCCATTTTATTTCACTATGACCACACCCGTTTTCAAAGAAGATTAAGATTAGGTTATAAAATAGAAAAAATTTTCATACGGATAAATAGGGGTGACGTACGTGTACAAACAAACAAACAAACAAACAAACATACTCTACTCGAACTAGTGGGCTTCGCCCAACAAGCCTTAGCAACCACCCGCCCACGCTACGTAAGTGGGTGTGGTCACGGCAAACAAGATGGCGGCTTGCACATGGGACAAAGTGATGAGCTTTCTAACAGCGAAAGAACATAGAGATACTGTCTAAAGCCTTCTCTAGAAGCATTAGAAGGTAGAGAGAACCTTCATAAGTCTTAATAAGAACCCAGTTGTACTTGCAAGGTGGTGAAAACAATTATAGGAATATTTTTACACTAATAGACCTCTTTGGGTGAGAATGAATTACGTCAAAGAATGATATACGGCAAGGGGCGTGACTGAGCCTGGCTGACTCTGAAATAATTTTCGTGGACGGCAACTTTCTATGGAGTATGAATGGGCTAATGCAGAAAGCAAGCTCTATTAAAGAATGTGCTTCATATTGCACCAAATCCCTTTTAGGAGATGCTTAGCAGCGACCATTCTTTCCTCCAACCAGCTTTTGTAGCTTGAAAAAGCTCCATGCCAACGAAAAGAATTAGTTTTGCCTTTTCTTCATTCATCCTCCATTGAATCTTGCCGTCCAAAATGGCGGCCCATTATCACCGTAGGTGGATACCGTAATGAACAGTAATGATATTCATACATAGGCCACCGTCAATCTCACCTGAAGAGGTCTATACGCTTGTTTTTCTTTAAAATTTTTTGAGATCCAAATCATAGATAATAGAGTAAATGAAAGGGATTGGAAACGGGGCGTAGCAACAGGAAATGCGGGTTGGGTTACCACGTGACAACCATTAGTGTTTTGATTGATTTCCCATCTCCTCCATTGATGAAGTTGCTCTGGCAGGATTTCGAAGGAAATTTGTGCTGCTCCAGGATAGCGCTTGCTTTTGATATATAGCCACATATATAGCCACATATATTGCTTTGATATATATAGCTTGATATATATATCAAATATATATATTTGATATATATATCAAAGCTATATATATATATATATATATATATCAAAGCTATATATATATATCAAAGCTATATATATATATAGCTATATATATATATATATATATATATATATATATATATATCAAAGCTATATATATATCCACATATATAGCTTTGATATATAGCCACATAGAATTTTTAGAGCTACCTGTAGCAAGGTTTTTATTTCCAAAAAGCCATTTTGCAACCAGTTAGAGGTACACAAAGTCGCCGGCCTGTTTTTGAAACACTTTATCTTTCGTAAAACATTCAAGCTTCATTGTATCAATATGCAAGTTAGCTCATTCCATAGGAGATTTCAAGCTCTTTAAAATAGTTATACTTATTCATAGCTCAAGAACAAAATGAGTCTCTCAGAGGGGGAAAAGATGGTTTATTTAGTTAAAGAGTGACGCGGCTACTAACGCATGCATTGATTTACTGAACAAAAAATATTAATAAAAAGCATAAACATTGGTTAGTATTGTGTGTGAGTTTTGTTTGCATGAATTGTATTCTCTTGGAGTTATTTAAGAATAAAGCAAGAAAATCCCAGTTTTTTTTACTCCAAAATCGGTCAAAAAATCCCAACCCTCCTAGCAACAATACAAATGAATGGAGGTTTGCCCACGCCCACGCTTCCGTTTCCAATCCCTTTCATTTACTCTATTATCTATGTCCAAATGCTATTTTAGGAAATAGATCCCCAGGCTTTTATTTAAGGGTGCTGCCTATAGCAACAATTATTTTATGCAGGAATGCTTAAGCCATACAAGTGTCCCATATAAGAATCTTATTAGGTTCTTTATGCTCCTCTAAAAATGGGTTTTATTTTAATGAAAAACCTTTAAGAAAGGGACTGGAAATATATAAAGCTGTAAAATGAAGTTTAGATTTTGAAATTGGTGTTTTATGCGAGAAAAATGCAAACTTTCAAAAAACTTTGCCTGTAGTGATCAGAATCAGACCAAATTTACAATATAGCCTCTTTACATGATTACACATACAGTAACATAGAGATATTTCAATTAAACAGGGCTAATATAGGAAAATGTGGTGTTGAGCAATATGAAAATCAAACTAAGTGGCATTACTAGTAGAAAAGGAGAAATATCTCTATGTTAATCAATTTGTTTGGTTAAAAACTGCCTTCACCTAGAAATCTGGTTATTCAAATCGAAAGTAAGAGGAGTTTTTCGCTTTTGAAAAATCTTTAGTATTTTAGCTCTTGATGCCATAGCTATTATGAGTTAAAGGCTCCAAGGTAGCTTACTAACTTATTTAGTTACTGTCTTGTAACTAGTACTGGTTTCATTATGATTGGTAAAGTACTTTGGGAGAAACAGCTCCCTTAGCAACAGATTAAAAAATTTGCGTGGGCGGTGGTGCAGCACCCTTAAGGAAATACAGTTTGATTTGCTACAATAACTAAAATTAAAATGAAGAGCCTTGCAATTTATATCATTTGTTGTATAAAGTACATGCTAGCCATTAGGGTAAATTAGGCATAATTTATGTTTTCTGAGGAAAATATAAATGTCCTAAACTTATTAGATTGTGATTGTATTGAATGGAAAAAAAAGGTGTAATTTAATAAAGCTCACTTGAACCATGCTTTTTGGGATTGTATGTTAATTGAGGGTGTAAATATTGTCCACGATAAATTTTTATATAGTAAATTTGTTATCCACACAACGCTAATATAATTATATGCAATTGTAGTAGGGTATGTAATTATCTAAAATGTCATGTTATTTGTCCACAATTGATCAATTGTTTTATGTAAATGGCTTAATGCTTAACCCATGCTGCAATAATTTCAATTTCTTGATTTTTGACATGCATAATAAAATTAGAATAACCTTAGTTTTATAATTTTTGGGCGAGCGTTGTCATCTAACTATTATTAAAGTTAAATAACCTAATCTTTATGATGATTATGAACTTGCCAAGCAAAAATGTATATAAAATTAATGAAATTCGTATCCTTTCCCATTCTCAGTTCCAGTGGTCTATATTGCTTGTATTATTGTTTGTTGTATATTGATAGGTCAGCCTGATGAAATTGAACCATACCCTGATTGTGTTAAAGAATATGCTGATATTTTAAAACAATGCCACTACAAAAAACTCAATATTGTTGGTTCAGATTGGCCACCAAAAGTTGGAAATGATGACGTTTTTGGAAGAATAGCACTTATACAGCAAAAAGATAACTCATCTTCTCAAGAAAATAACTCTTTTCCTCAAAAATACACTTCCACTCAGCAAAAAGAGTCGTCAGATTGGCACTTGCTACGAGGACAAGTAGATGAAATATGTCATCTTGCTGGAAATGAAAAAGTTGAAATTAAGGATATTCTAAAACCTACAATAAATGATTGTACATCTCTCATAGTTCTAATAGATGGTCCTCCTGGCATTGGCAAGACGACACTTTGTCGTAAACTTCTACACATGTGGTCTGATGGAGAACTCGTTCCACATTATGACTTGGTACTTTATTGTCCTTTGAGAAATGAGAAGATAGCTAAAGCTGATACATTAAAAGATCTATTTGTGTATAAACGTAATAATGTTCCTATGATAGTTGATTTGTTTGAGGAGTACAATGGAGAGGGGATGCTGATAATTTTTGATGGTTGGGATGAACTAAGTGAACACCACAGACAGTCTTCATTAGCTGCTGATATTATTCGTAGAGAGCAGTTAGACCAATGTTCAGTAATTGTTACCTCTCGTAGCTATGCTTCCTCTTCACTTATAAAAACATCTTCTCTCAATAAACATGTTCAAGTCATTGGATTTTCTAAGGATGAAATAGCAAAAGTAATTATACAAACTCTTCAAAAAGATAAAATATTGGCACAAGAACTCCTTGAGGAAAATTCTGAAATTAGTTGGAATTATTTCTTCAAAAAAACTGCTTTTTTCAAAACTACTCAAAGCAATGAGGAGTCACAACTAGCAGTGAAGCTAATCAATGACCTTAAAAAACGAAGTGATGTCCAGTCGTTATGTTTCATACCATTTATCTGTTCAATTGTCATTTCAATTTATAGTAAAGAAAAAGAACTAAAAACAACACTTACTGAATTGTATGAGAATTTTATTGTACAAACTATCAAAAGGCAAATAGAGAAGCAGGGTTGTCCCTCATATGTCTTTAATAGTCTTTCTTCATTACCAGTAGAGTTAGCCGAACCTTTTGAAGAGATTTGTCAGTTTGCTTACACTAACCTGGCTAATAATAACAAAGACCCTGTATTGACATTTGTCTCTCATCAAATCATTGGGATGTCAGCAGCCAAGGACAATTATTTTGGTTTATTAACAACTTTCATAGATCATGAGGAAAACTATCAGTTTATTCACTTAAGTATTCAAGAATTTTTAGCAGCATGTTGGATAGCTAAGCGACCAAATCCAGAACAGATATTTAAAACCCATTTTGACAATGACCACTTTCGGATGTGTCTGAGGTTTGTGGCAGGTCTAACCAGACTTAGTCATAAAAGTTATGAGCAATACTTTAATATACCGATTGACTTACAGTGCAAGAAAAAAAGGATATTTGGATTTGAGGCTCGATATCAATCCTATTTCTATACTAATCCAATAGTTGACCATGTTGATCTTGATAACTTTCTTACTCATGTTGACCATTTTCCTATTCTTCTCCTTCATCTTCTTTATGAATCACAAAATAAAGATTTATGCCAAGCATTAGTGCTATCCATTAGTCCGCAATCAATTTGTTTTCATGCATTACAATTTTCTCTATTTGACATATTGTGTCTCAACTATTTTCTTAATGTCAATAGTACTACCCACTGGAACCATCTTCATCTCATGCCATTATATCAAGATGAACTATCAGTATTGACTACCATATTGAACACAAAAAGACTAGATGCATATTTTTACGGATTCACCGATGACACAATACTACAATTAAGAAATATTCAGGAGTGCTACATTAATATATCAGGTACTTCTCTATACGCATGTGATGTACTTGTAAAGTTCCTCAGTTTTTCACAAATAAAAATACTGCGCTTGAAAGTAAACGAAAACATTAAAAAATATAATATGAAGCATTGCTGTTGTTCTGATCTTGAGAAATGTTTAGCAAAAAAAACAACTCTACAAGAATTTAATGTTCAATATACACAAACAAATCTATCTCTTTATACCATCCAAGAAATGTATGATATATATTATAATCATGAAAGGAACATTTTCAATACTATCATTGAAGGAATATGCAAGAATACAAGTATAACATTTCTTTCACTACATTTTTCTGATAATGCATGCTTAACTGGGGAGTTAATGAAACAGCTCTTTAACGAAAACAAAACATTAAAAGCTCTTTCAGGTACTTTTTTATTTTCACCAGAAGATATGGTAGAAACAATAAGCACATCATTGGTTGCTATGGATATAAATCTTCCCCTCGGCCTCATTAATGGACTGGAATGTATTTTACTATCAAAGCTGCATCCATCACATGTTGTTAATCCTAGTCTTGTTGTAACTAGATTGGAATTAAATTCACCAGAAAGTGCAGTTGAGCTCTTTGATATTCTAAAAACTGATAATAAACTGAAAGCATTGAAATTAAAAATAATTATGTCTGTGCAAAAATTTAGCTGTGACATCTGCACATTCAAAAATATGTGTACTAGTATGAAAGAAATGCTCCAACAAAATCAAATGTTAGAATGCCTTGAAATAAAGAGCACTTTTGATATAAAAGAGAGCTTTTTTGATATTCCTGTTTCTAATACGAGAACTCTGCCACATACCTTCCTTTCATATCTTATTACTGGTCTTGAAGGTAATAATACATTACAACAGTTGCGTCTACCTATTCCACTTACTACTAATTGTATGTATAATAAAGAAAACGATGTAAAAGCTCTTTTTAGTCTTCTGTCTTGCAGGAAAAAACTCACTGAACTCCAATTAGATTTTCAAGGCCATGATCAAGAACAAACCATTATTGAAATAGATAATTTCACCATATTCCAGGATCATGTTCTACCAATGATTACTAATATGTTATTGTCAAATAAATGGATTGAGGTACTAAGCTTAAATGTCCATTTTTCTGGTTCACCAAGGCGTAAAAATACATGGGAAGAATTCTTTGATGCTATCCTTAACCATCCTTCACTTCAACATGTTGGTTTGAAGTTAAGTTTTGAGAGTACAGAGTTGAAGGACTTCCTCAAAGGGCAGATAGAGGTAAAGGAACTTAAGGAAGCACCAGTAATAATTTGTGCATGAAACTAGTTTATATAGAGTTTAATATTTTTACTTTATTAAACTTTTGGTTGCTGCTTTATACTTATTTTTGTAATGCAAGTTAGATAATACAAGTTCATTATGGCACAAAATTATTATAATGCAAGATTATAACAATAATTATGCAAATTTATCAATATGGATTCTTTTTTTGGGAGCAAGCTAGTATGTATAATTTATAAACTGATTTGTGTAAATAAGAATTAAGACTGAGAAAAGAGAACTCTGCATGTATGCATATTTTGAACTGAAAAAATAATTATAAGGGTATACTGTTGTGCAACCCATACAAGATTTAGCCTACCTTTATTTCTAATAAGGAGTATACACTTTATACTTAAATATTGTGTACTTGCCAATTATAATACTTAAACATTTTAATACTCATAAGAAGTTAAGAAAATATAGAGTATAAACTGAGGTAGTAAGATGCCATAACACTGTATCACAATAATGACAGCACAAATGTTAATAAATTTTTAAAATCAATCATAAAATAAATTACAGTTCCTTTTTTATCTCTTTTGCTTTCTCTTCTATTGCCAATCTTCCCTATAATAATTAATAAACTTTACTGTCACAAAGTACAATAATGCACACAAGCTATTATTACATAATAAGCTCTTAAAATCTAGTGCTCAGTAGAGCTGGGTTCAGCTTGTAACGGAATAGCAAATAATGCTACAACAGCAAATGAAAGATTCTTTTAACACAGTACATCCAGTCACAAAAAATATTCTGAACCAAGTAGGCCATATGCATAAAGACAAACCTTTGATATAACAGACTCATAAGAATTGAGTATCATGGTTTCTAATAATCCTCCTAGCAATGGAACACCATGAACACTCATAACAGTATGCTGCTGCAGTATAGTCCTAATTATAACAAATAAATTATTAATACTATTATACCAGCATTGGCTTACTTTGATGGATCCTCTGGATGTACTTTATATTGCAGGACTTCACTCATTTTAAATAAACTTCTTAATGAGACCTACCAAATGAAAGAACCAGTGAACAGATTACATAAAGTAACAATACATAATAACAAGAGTAGACAATAATATTAGTCACGGTAATATACATTTTTACTTGTATTAAGACTAAACAGCAAATACATTAAAGTTGAAGGAGCAAAATGAGACATTTTAAAATAAAAGAATACCGTATAGCGGTAAATTTTGGAGGGACTTAAATTTGGCTAATTGCTACATTTCGGTGATTGGTGAATTTTAATTTGGTAAATTAGTGGCCATGTGCCATTGAGCATGCGCATAATGGCTCAAAATGGCAGATTTTATTTTGGCAAATGGCTATCAAAACGCCAAATTCGCCAAATTTAATTCCCTCCAAAATTTCCTGTTATACGGTAATAAAGATTATCTAAAAAATTTCTCACATTTACAGCAGAGATTGTAAGTGTCTTGCTAAGAGTATCACACTCAGACATTTCATGAATATACATCATCTCATTAAACCCTAATATCTATAAAACACAGGATACCATACATCAGTCATTAATATTGTAGTAGGTTACATACATCGATCAATACATACTTATATTATTGTACATACTTTAATGATAATGTAAAAGTATATACATGTACATTACATACATTAATTACAAGAGCCGGTACATTCCATAGCGTGCCAAACAACCGATGACTAAACAAAACTCGGCCACTCCCATTTTGACCACACCTCCTTTCCAATGTATCAAGTGTCTTAACGTTAGTATTGTGACGTGTTGGGTATTTACGATATGCAGCCTGTACTACAGTCTCCCAGGGAAAACTACAGGTAAGTAATAATATAACAATAATAAGGTATTAATAATGGTTTTACATGCTAAAATGCTTACTAACTCAAAAGTATAACTATCCACCCACGTCTTCATTTCTTTCTCATAATTTTGCTATCTTTTTAATTGATTTATAAGACCTCAACAAGCCTGGAATGACAAAATCGAGGATAAAATCTCTGTAGGGTCTTTTTTGCACCACGTGTTTTGGCGGGAACCACGCCCACCGTTACCATAGCTACCAGCAAATGGTACATGTTGTGCTCTTATTGGGAAAAGGAGAGTAATTTTACTTTCTAGCTCAAGAAAATGGCCGAGCAGGCCAAAGAGACCCGGTCCTTTGTCAAGACTAAAGTTGCTAGTCTTGCCAGCTCTAGAAAACTCACTAAATTGGTCAAGGAGCCGAAGAAATCTCAAAAGGTTCGGAATTTAACTACCACTTTTGTCTTCCATTGATTTTTGCCTCCATTACAGCTAGTGCCCTCTTCATTTATGTCTAAAATGAGTCTCAGTACTCAAGAGAGACTTCAAGCGACGAGAGAGGTCTACCCACCAAAGATCATAGAACTACTGGACATAGGAGCCAGCACGACTAACAAGGCAAGAGAAAGAGAGAGAGAGTATTTCAAACTGCATCTATCAAATTGGCCACATGTATTTGGCACTCAATTAATGTTTTATACATGTACTCAACTGGTCTTACTAAATACTAATACCAAATAGTTTTCATTTATTGTAGCATGTTTATGAAGTGCATGTATGTACAATGCATTCACACGTACATGTATTTTATACCTCAGAATACCAGTAACAGCCAAATCGCTCTCAATCCTATGTTACCAAGGGTTGATTAATGTTACTTTTTTGTGTTATAATTGTTTAGGATTTTTCAGTCGATATTGATCAAGCTTTGTTTCAACCATTTCCGTCAGAACTAATCTTTCAACAGTTGGTCCCAAACACTTCTTATGAGATGATATTAACACTAAAGAACCTTGATAGGGTAATTCATGTACATGTATTGCAATAAGACCATGTTTCCTCTCTTCTCTTCTCCCCTCTTCCCCTTCTCTCTTTTCCCTCCCTCCCTCTCTCTCTTCTCTTTCTCTCTCTCTTTCTTACTTACAGGTTGCAAGACATGTTAAAGTTACTGAGAAGGACTCACCTTATTTTATTGTTACCAGTAGCAGACCAGTAGGACAAAAGATTGCCCCTGGAATGGAAGCTACTTACATTGTACAGTTCACACCAACTGAGGATAAGGTCAGAATACATACAGTACAATGAGTATGTGTATTACTGAAGTACATGTAGAAGTTTATAAGAATTTTAGTTATTATTAGTGATGATACATGTACATCCATATAATTTTTACTTGCTCTCTCTCTCTCTCTCTCTCTTTCTCTCTCATGATAGGATTATTATCATGAGTTAGTTTTTGTTACTGAGAGAGAGAAGTTTGTTGTTCCAGTCTCTGGTCTGGGCTCAAGGGGTGTCCTTGACTTCCCTGATGATATTCACTTCACATCATCTCCAGTTAAAGTACATACACTTATCACACAATAGCACCCTGAACTACATGTACATGTACTATACATGTACATGTACAGTGTATATATAATTATAATGATTACATGTACATGTATGATATTTCTCTTAGTACAAGTCATGCAAGACTATTCTGGTAAGGAATGTTGGCAAGAAAGAAGCTAATTTCAAACTAGAAACAAACAAGTAAGATATTCATTGTACATACATGTACATACATGTACAGTGTACATGTACATGTACATGTACAATGTAAATAATTATGGTAATGCATTAATGACTGGTTTCTTTGTACATTGTAGGCCATTCTCTGTGTCTCCCTCTCACTCCATACTAGCAGTTAATGGCTGCACTCAAGCTAATGTAGAGTTCCTGCCAAACAACACTGGAGACTATACTGGGGAACTAACCATTCACTATGATACTGGTATGACTCCATTCTGTGTATACATGTACATGGATGTGCTATGTACATGTACATATACATTATGTTCATTGTATTACTAATAGGTGAGGTGGTGTATGTACAATTGTATGGAACTGCTATTGATGTTAATGTGAGACTAGATAAGAGCTCAATACTAATGGAGAGCACTTACATTGGACTGTGTTCACAGAGGTGAGAGCTGGGAGGGAGGGGGAATGTCTCTAGTATACATGTATTATACTTTTTGTTTTATACAGAACATTAACGTTACACAATCGCACTGATATTGTTTCTCACTTTGAATGGAAACTCAAATCAACAGTAGATGAAGAAGAACTACACAGAGAGATGTAATTGTAACGTCGTAACATTCATTTATCCTTTCTCCTCCTCTCTCTCTCTTTCTCTCTCCCTTCCTCCTTTTCCCCCTTCCTCTCTCTTCTCTTGTATCTCCCCCCCTCTCTCTCTCTAGTATAAAGCAAGAGTTAAGTGATGAAGAGGCCAGTTCAAAGAGGTCATTGCTTGATCGTTGTGTTCACAATCCTTACCTGAGGGACAGGATCTCTATACTTGATCATAATTTTGATAAAAGGAAAGCAGTAAGTGCTTGTACATGTACATGTATTGTTTGCGTGTGTGAAATCAGCAATAATTATTTATTCACTTTATATACTGTACACTGTAGCTTATTAATAATGAAAGGTTTCTATTTTATGATGATGTTTTCTCCATTGATCCGGTGGTAAGTGAATATACATGTACATGTACACATGCTCATAATTTTGTTTATAGGAAGGTGAACTGTGGCCTCACTCACAAATTGATGTTACTATTTCCTTTCAACCAGAGAAGGCTAAAAAGTAAATTAACTAGTACTTAGAGTATGTACATGTACACATGCATGTACATGTGCATGTGCATGTACATGCATGTCATGTGTATGATACATACTTTACTTATGATCCTTCTTCTCTCATCCAGTTATTCCAGTGTAGCATATTGTGATGTGACTGGTAGAGAGAGCAGGCTCCCCCTTAGGTTAAAGGGAGAGGGACTAGGACCTAAGCTTAGATTCTCGTTTGATTCGCTTGACATTCAAAACATTTTTGTCAATTCTGCACATGCATATGAGGTATAAACATTATTTACATGTACCGTAAATCCTTAAATAGAAGCCGCATTTGAATAAACGCCGGGATAGCAATACAATTTAACTATAAATACGCAACACAGGTGTAGGAGTGACTGCCTGAAGTTCCAGAAGTCAAAAGCATGAGGTCACGGGTTTGAACCCTGCTCTGGGCCTAATTTTTTTTTATTTTTTATATATTTTTTCGAGGTCCAAATACCATTTTAGGAAATAGACGCCCGGGCTTTTATTTAAGGAAATACGGTACTTGCATACACCCATACAGACTATAAGCAGTTACTGTTTATTTTACATGAAAAAACTATATTAATAATAATAATACTTCTACCATGCCAAATTTAAATTGACCAATCAGATTGCAGAATACCAGGTTTCTAAATCTATAAGATACCTCCCAGGGGGAATACTTAGAAACTTGGCGCTCTACACTTATGCTCTTATTATAGTCCATTTGTCAAGCTTGGTTGATTCTTTACTACCTAGCCTGTTAGATATGTTGTATGTATGTCAACTGTGGTCTTATTATCAGCAGCTGGTAGTTGTTTTTCAAATGTCATGGTAGAAGTTATACCCTATGCCTTGCTTGGTTAATAAATTAAATACCATAGAAACCTTTACCTCAGTGTATAACCTATACATGCATGCATGTAAGTTATTCATGTACACATGAACATGTTAATAATAGGTGGTATTGGAGAACCAAGGTGACATTGATGCTAGTTACTCCATGAGGCCTTCCTCGTCTCTTTTTGGTCCTAAATTTACTTTCAATCCTTCTTCTGGTCACCTCTCACCTGATGGACTCCAGGCAATACAGGTACTGACACTATAGGATGTACATACTTAGATGTATTGTTTATATGAACATTTTTACATTATTATTCTGATGATAAATTCACTGTACTTTAAAAATCAAGATATCATTTTCTTCTGCTGCTCTTGGTTCATTTGATGAGGAGTTTGAGTGGGACATAGAGGGATCAAATGAGACGCTTAAACTTAGAATAAAGTAAGACTTGTATTGTACATTATTTATTATCATTTCTTCTTCTTGCTCTCTCTCAGTGGGTCTGTGATAGGTCCTACATTTCAATTTGATACTGATGAGATTAACTTCAATACAGTTTCATACGGTAATATAAGTGTACATGTATTACTGTCACTCTCTTTTCTCCCTTCTTCTTTGTGTGTATATCCATGTATAATTATTATTTTATGATACTGTAGGGTTTCCATCAGTCCGACAGGTTTCATTAACTAATACTTCTGAGGTACCAATGAGCTTTATACTGAGGGTCCCTGCTCATGGCAGCAAAGGGGAAGAGTTTATCATCAACCCAAACAAAGGAGTCCTGCCACCCAGCCTACACCAGAATATTACTGTAAGTTCATGTACATGTACTGTATAATCAATCATTAAATGCACCAGTACATAGTGTGCATGTACATGTATTTGATTGCATATTATTACAATTAGATCACATTCACTCCAGCTGAAGTAAAGGAGTACACTAGGTGCTTGGTACTTGATGTAGAAGAGGCTGGGAAGGAAGTCTTCTCTCTACCCATACGAGCAAAGTTAGTATCAATCTACAGTGTACATGCACATGTACACATGTATCTTTTTCTTCCAGTTGTGTTGTACCTGATGTTATTCTCCATACCAAGTCATTACATTCTTTGTGTCTCACCCGTACACACTGAATGTACACCTTGAGAACACATCAGATACACTACCAGTCAAATACAAAATGATTCAACAAGTAATGTACAATATACAGTATAGTACAGTATAATACAGTATGATACAGTATGATACAGTATGATACAGTATAGTACAGGCTGTTATGCATGCTCATTAATTGTGTGTTTATGTAGGAAAGTGATGCTGCCATTGAATGTTCAACGACAAAGCCTGAGGTAAATATTAATAGTATCATCATGTACATTGTGCCTCTTGTACATTTACTGTACACTCCACCCAGGCAGGGTTTCCCACAGGATTTTGGCATCTATAGTGCTAAATATTTTTTCTGGTACATGTATATACTTGTGATTCCGATTTAGATTTTTTTTAATGAATTTTAAAGTTGCTCCAAATGCCATGCATTGTATTATGTGATGCTTGTCAGCTCATGAAGCATACTGTTTACAGCTCACTTGTACATGTAGCATGCTTTGTGGGAAACCCTCCCCTTTCTCTCTCTCTCTTCCTCTCCCACTCTACCCCTCCTCTCACTCTCTCTCTTTCTCTCTCTCTCTCTTAGGCTATCATTGAGCCTCAAGAGACACTGACTCTTCCATTTACAATAAAAGCTAACGGAGTCGGTCCACTAGTCTCCACAGCATCCTTTCATATAGCAGGATCAACAGAGTCACCATTGAGACTAAAGCTACACTGCACTGGTGAGGGGCCAGTGGTCTCAGTATCACAGGAACACTTAGACTGGGGCCTCTCACCAGTACTGACCCCCATCAAGAAGACCCTACTCTTGTGTAACCAGTCAGAGATTGATGCTGAATTCCAGTCTTTTTCTTGTAAGAAAACAATCAGAATTAAATATACATGTACATGCACATACACATATACTTGTAGTCTTGTACATGTAAAACTTAAACTGTATTGTTATACATTTTACTTTTTCTTCTTTTTTCTGTCAGATGAGAGAGAGCAGTGTTTTTACAGTTCATCCATTTGCTGGTGTAATTCCTGCTAGAAAGAAACTGTCACTTACTGTAACTGCAGAATTAGATGATGCCATTCAGTAAGCACCTACAGTGTACCTGCACATGTACATGTACATGCATGTTTTTATGCACACACATGTACATCATGTATATGTACAAATCCATGAAATTTACCACATTAATATGTACATGTACAATGTATGTACATTGTATATCTCTCCCCTATAATAGGTTCACTGATAAATTAACCATAACAATAATTGGTGGTATTAGTTATACAGTCACACTGTCAGCTGAGGGTAAAGGAACTACTATAGTGAGTGCTCCGTCAATGCACTCCTCAGTCAACATGGGGACACACTTTGCTTGCAGTCAAGTGAGGAAGCAGTTCACATTAACTAACAGAGGGAGGAGGAGTCAGGTATGTACATGCATGTATAGTGTTTAAGATACACATAAGGGCATGCATGTATATTTACATACTCCGTTGAAGTTAGCAGCACATTTTGCAGCAGCACATTCCTCACTTCAAATTGATTAAATTTTTGTGGTCGAAGCCTTATCACAAGGGTGGGGCTCGATTAGAACTCGGGTGGAGCTGGTTGCTGCGCTCGAGCGATCATAATTACTGTTTATACCGATAGATTATAAAATGTTCTTTTATAGGACAAAAAGAGCAAGTCAAGAGAACACTTAAGGTTGCTAGATTAATATCTGTTGTTCTTTTTTATAGGACAAAAAGTGTAGGTCAAGAGAATAATATTTTGTGACTTTTTTTGATAGCTACGTTAAAGAATTAATACAAAAGGATTATCAGGCACCATAGTATCTATGCAGGCACTTGACCATAAGTGCAAGATGAAGATTGTTTACATCACATATCTGATATCATGAATTGTGACATTTTAAGCATCATTATTTTATTATTATTACTATATAATGTTTTACAACACACAAGACAAGTGGAAGGGAGAGTAAGATATGAGGGTTGAGGGGGAGTTTGTTCCACAGTCAGACAATTCTATTGAAATAAATGTAAAAATGAGTATCATGTTTACGTATAGTTGTGAATCAGTTTATGGACAGTGGACAATGTAGTA